GGAGAAACAAAGGAATTAGTTGTTCAACAAATCTTCGTTGGCTCTTCTTCATACTAGACACGGTTTTCTTCCATGCCTGAGCATGTTTTTTGACAGGAATTTCAACACTTAGCATCAATTAAAGGCCAGGATGAAACAGAAATCAATTTGCAATTGGACTTCTACTTCAACCAACAGCACTATCAACGCACAAATTTCAGAGCAATCAGAACACCACTGTAGCATATAATATTGAGATACTTATTAGAGTTTATATATTGTCAGTTTGGGAGTTGGTGTTATATTTTAATGTTGAGAATCCAACCTTCCATCTTGCCAAACTTAAGGAAAATGATAATACATGTACAGTTCCTGAATCCAAATACTTCTTTGGATCTACCTGTTGCTTAGTCTTCTACATGTCAACCTACTGCTCAAGATCCTTCTCCATGTGAACCTATTACTTGGACTAAACATAATAGTTGGACTGAACCAAATAAACAAGAATATTGCCAAATCAAATGGCACAAGGCTGAACTCCATGACGTCAACGGAATAAAAAAAAACTGAAAAATTGGATTATAAAATAACAGACAGAATGTCCACCCAAGTCAAACTACCTGAAATGTGGCCTAAAGACTCAAGAAGCATCAAGGGAAAAGGCAACACCAGCTCAACCACCGAAACCGATCTATTAGTAGAAACATAGGATCATTCAGGCCAGATATCATTTGACTTAATGACTTTATGAAGTTATCACAGTTGAACTACTATTATGCATTAAATATGCCGGTTAAAATACGTTAAACGCTTTGTGTAAACCCTAAATTGAACATAAATGTCTTCTATACCTCCATTCTCGCCCAGAAGCACAAAAAAAAAATAAAAAAAATTGAGCAGTTCTTCAAGAATGACTTGGAAAGCTGAATGCTGGAACCAAACATTTTGAATAATCAAAATCCATGACAACATGATTGGACCTAGACAAATTCACAATTTTCTGTGGGCTCAGAGCAAGGTCTCAAAGCAACAATAAGCTGAAAGAAGACTAAATGGAAGTTGACAACATGATCGGACCTAGACAAATTCACAATTTTCTGTGGGCTCAGAGCAAGGTCTCAAAGCAACAATAAGCTGAAAGAAGACTAAATGGAAGATCAAGCTTATACAAATGGAGTAGAAGATGAATTGCCTCAAGGAGTTTTGCAAGCCCAAAAAATTTAGATGTTTGTGTTTCTTCTAAGTTCTGAATATTCAAAGTAAGACAAATCCGTCGGAGCATGCTTACCCTTTTCACTAGAAATGGTGCCTGAAGCTGATGAGGATGCATTGATGTGCAATGTGTTCTCAAATCTATTTGGACCAACACTAAATTTAATTTAGACATCTTCCATTGAGGTCCATCCCAAATTTTACCAAACTCTAGGAGGCATTCATCTCCAAGTACATACGTAACAAGAAGCAAATGGAGAAAGCATCTAACTCCAACATGAAATGGGAAGACGAAACTGATGGATTTCCTGAGCTGATTTGTCTTTGAATGTCCTAGGTAGGAAAATGTGATAGCTGTACACTAGACATGGGTTGGATCAGCACTTAGGCCAGGACAAAGTGTGCAGGAGTCACTACTCAAGAGACCCCCAAGGGCATGGTCAAAGTCACCACAAGAACCGACGGCTGTACAAGACTTAAGGAGGGAAGAGCCAAGCAATGAGTAAGATCAACAGGGAAGTGGTTTCACAATCCTCATGCGCAAACCAAAAGACAAAGCAGAAAGATCAAGTAGCCAAAACAAACCTATACTGAGATCCGTCAGACCATGTGCTTGGCAAAATTGTACATGTGAACACAATTTGGATATTATTTTGAGTATCACCACCTATGAGGAAGCCACAAGAGCGGCAAGATACAAGTAAGCATTGTTCCTTAACATCCATCAAACAACTAACAAGTGCAGGAACTTGAGAAGGAAAGTGGAGACCATGATCAAACAAGGTGATGCTCCCTCCCCACACGGCCAATCGTGCACAATTGACGAAACGACCGAAGTTACCTAAACAGAATGTTCTATCAACAGTCCAATCTTTTTCCCAGATTATAACTGTCATTTAGAAGAATCCTGGCCCAGATGACGAAATGAAAGCTCAGAGAAGAACAAGACAAGAAAGACAACAAGAAATCATGAAAAGAATTTGTAAGATCTATACCCCTGCACAGTAGTTATGGCAATGAGAAAAGCAAACATAATTCAGACATAAGGAT